CATGTTCTCTCCCTCTCTTTTATAGCAGCAAACAATGCAGCAACACATGTGCAATGTTTGTGCCCAAGGAACTCCATCAGAGACACAGCATCCAAGGTTTTTACTAGGGGCTGGTCACATAGGCACTGTCTGCCTAGCAACCATCAAAATTCCAGATTCCCAGAAGGAAAGCATGTGTTCGACATAAGTCATATTTTTTCTATAAAGAGTCTAGGCACAGTCACTCACCCTTATCAATTAGGGAATGGAGGGACTGATTCAAGTGCCAAGTTCCCAGATGCCAGCCAGGGGCCAATCTTGCAAGCAAGCCCTTCTGAAGACAGCAGCCTCAGGCTTCCTTTGTTAAGTCTTTTCTGAAGTGATCTGTAAATGTTGCCAATGAGACTGAAGTACCTCCAAAGTAAGAGATGGTATTAGGGAGCTGCCAACCTAGAGGCTATATTAATTAGTTGTATTTTGCGGGAGAAAGCAAAGAACCATATTGGGTAAGTGAGCTGCCCAGAGTCATATCAAAGCAAGCAAATGATACAGGATTTAAATTCAGGTGGTCCTAACTCTGTAACCCATATCCGTTCCATTCTAGTTTACTCCTTTAAAAGTCAGGTTGGTATCAGTTTCCAAAGACCTGCTCACTCTGCAGATGAATGTTAAATCAAGATTGAGAAACTATAAAAGCAAGGAAGAACTAGGTCACTCTGCCCAAGTGCCTAAAACAGCCTTTCAGCTTCACTCCTCACCAGAGCCACTAAAGCACTCTCTCAACTGCAGCAGACAGTCTCCAGCCATCACTGCTCTTCTACTATCAGACGTTCTCTTTCCATCTGCCAGAAAGCTGGGGCGGGGGGCGGATATCCCATCTCTTCACTAGCATACTATAATGAATCTCATCACACACTGGTGGAAAAAGAAAGCTGACACAAGGCACTTTAAGCTTGAATTCATTTAATCCTCAAGAACCACTTCATTTCACAGATAAGCTACAGAAGGCTGTCAGAGTTGAAATAACTTATCCAAGACAACGCATAGTAAGTGACACTGCAGGATCAAACTTAACTCTGACTCTAAAATCTGTATTAGCAGATTTTAGAATAATCTGTAAAATTAGTAGACATCTGAGGTGCCTTTCACCTTTCTCCCCAGATAAGGGTTCCTTTGGCATACGTTCCTTCTCCTCTGAAGCAATCCTCAATTCAAGTCTCTTCCCACTGACAGTTCACTCTGCCTTCCCTTATCTGCCACAGTCCCTTCTTCAAAAGCAATCTTTCACCCAATCTAATGCCCCCTCTAGTCTCACAGAAAAACAATGCGCAGTAGATTTGCATTTCGAAAAGATCTTTCAGATATATTATTTCATTTGCCCTTCACGACAATCCCGTAAAGCCGGCGAAGAGGTAAAAGTATCCCCATTTTACAAGAAAGGCATTTCCCCAAGATCATAGAATAAAAAGCATAGGAAATCAGGAGCGGAGCCCTAGGTTTTGACACTCGGCTCTTCCCACTGCACCTCACTGCCGCCCCGCCCCAGCAATGTCACAAGGTGCCCCTTGGCTCGAACCCGGGCCTATAGCTCACACGTCCCTCCCACCCGCAACGTCCCCGCCAATCCTTCCACATGACCCCTCCCCCACGATCTCTCTCTTCACCAGTACCCACCGCCCACGGGCTTCCTTAACTCGCCAGCCCTCTAGGCTCATGTGCTCCCTCTTGTCACAGACAGCTCGCCACCCCCTTCTCGGCCTCCTGCAGACCCTCGCCCCGCCTCCCCTCTTTGCCACCCGAGTCCCGCACTCCTGTCAACCCGCGGCCGGGCCCGCCCAGGCTACCTTCTCCAAGGATGCCGGTCTCTGCACGGCCAGGGAGCGGGCGAGTGAAAGGACCGTGTTGAAATAGAAGCCCCGCGAGGCGCTGGAGCCGGAGCCGGAGACGCAGCTCCCCCGGGCCGCGGCTGCCGCCATCATAGCGCGCGAA